TTGGCCTGGGATGCCCTTCCATCACCTGCTTGGAAAATCCCTCCTCCTCCTCGTAACCCTGGCTCAAGTGACTCTACTCTGTCAGCATCTCCCTAGGTCCCTTCACCACCCATTCCCTGTGTGGTTTCATTTATGGCAGTGCTGTCTCTTGTGCAAATTTCCATTACAGTCTTTATCACACCGACTGACAGTAGTTTCCAGGCATGTCTCTCCAACCAGGCTGTAGAATCCTTGAGGGAATGATATTGTCTCATTCCTTTTTCTATCCGTTGTATCAAGCATAAGACTTAGCACGTAGCGGGGGCTTGGTAGACATCTATACAATACATTGAATGAATGAATGAGTAAATGGATGAACGAATTGGAGAGCATCTGAAGGGGCCTTTGATGTAAGCTCCCACTCAAAACCAGAATTCCTTCTATAGCAGGAATCAACACACTGCAGCCCGTGGACTGAATCTGGCCAGATGCCTGTTTGTGTGAATAAGGTTCTAATGGAACACAGCCATGTCCATTTGTTTACTTATTGCTCATGGTTACTTTTGCAACACAGCAACAGAGTTGAGCAGTTGGGACCATATGGTTCTCAAAGCCTGCAGCATTTCCTGTCAGACTCTTTACAGAAAAGTTTGCCCACCTCTATTCTTTAGCATTGACTCTTAATCGTTTTTGGACTAGAGACGTGTTTGAGAATTTGATAAAAAGCTTTGAGCTTGAAAACATGCTTATACACAAGACATTTTGCATTCAATTTCGTGAGAATCAATGACCCCTTGAATCCCATTCATCAATCTCCTAGAGATCCAGCAACACCAGATTAAAAATTCAGTTGCCAAAGTCTAGTGAGACTGCAACTGAAAAAGTGATGGGGAATGTGGTCTTAGAAATCAAAACTTAAAAAAAAAGAGAGACTGCATTGCCCTGAAACATCTCAGACATATAGTTGGCCATCTTGCATACTGTATCTTCAGCCCCAGGAAACTTACTACCGGGCAGCATATGATGCTATCGCAGAAAGGTACGGTTTGTAAGGAAGCCCATCTTTACACTCAACTGGGCTCTTGGAATGGGAGCCCACTGGTCCTCTGGGATGTGGAGGCCGTGGTCCAGGGTGCATAAGCTCATTTCCTCAGCTGATGAGGAGAGACAAGGAGAAACGAGAAGGTCGGGGAGAGGCTGCCCATTCTGATCTTCCGAAGGAGAGGCACAGTGAGGGAAGGGCGAGGGAAGGGGGACCTAGAAGAGGAGTCAGGACCATTACAATCCATCAAATCTACCAACCTTGCTTTCTTAAAAACAAAGGGCGGGTGAGGTGGGGGGATGGGAAATGAGTGTGTCTGGCACCTTATGAAGTCCTGAGCAATAGGAAGCGTTAGGCCTCTGCGAAGCAAATTGTGGGCCAAACGAGCTCATTTTTTGGCAGAATTATTAAATTAGCAGATGAAGGAAACACATAAGACACTATGGATCTTGCTCTTAGCGGAGCCCTCAATAGAGGGTTGTGCAGATGCTTGCTACACTCCTTCCATCCGGGGTTGGGGGGGAAGCTGGCGTCCCTTGGATCCCCACTGGGAGGGCCGGGTGGGGGTGATGTGTAATGAACATCTGGGCCGGGTGCTGTCTTGGGGGCTTTAAGTCCACAAACCCATTCAATCTCCACGACAATCGAGGAAAGGTGACTGTTGTCATTTCAGAAGGGAAGATGGGCTCAGAGGGGTGAAGTGCCTTGCCTCAGCTCACAGAGTCAGTGGCAGAGCTCATGGCTGAATCTCCGTCTGCCTGAGTCCAAACCCAGTGCCCTTGCCCCAGGGGTAAGGAAAATCTCCCTGCCAGGAGCTCTCGGGTGTGACTTTGAAATGGAGCAAAGGGACATGAAAAACCAGTCGGGTAAGAGACAAGAGCTGGAGTCAGGCAGGGAGGGCTGAGTCCGGGATAGGAGGGGAAGCCAGGGGAAGCCGGCTTCCAGCAGCAGGGCTGATTCTAACCGCTGCTTTTAGGAAGATGTGATGAATGGACATGTGTTCAGAGAAACGAAAGAGCATAGAATCCGGGCCATGTGGGGAATAGTTAAGTCAACAACCAGGTCTCTGTCGCTTGCTCAAAATATTCACAGTCCTGTCCTGGAGGATGCGGGTGACTCCTGTGGTCTCAGCGGGTTGGTTGGGTCAGTGGTATCCCACACAAAGGCAAGGAGAGCTTTCTAAGGATGGAGGTGTCCAGCCCTGTAGGGAGTGAGCTTCCCATCACTGGAGACATTCCAGGAGCCGACATAACTTGGGAGGAGAGTCTGACTCTGGGTAAGACAAAAGATTGGCTAAAGCCCCTCCCAGCACGACAATTCTCTATCTTCAAACTCAAGGTCGAGGAAGAATATCCCAACAGCAAAGCTCTCCAGAGATTCCTGCAGAAATCTGACAGTGGAGAGGGAGATCTGTATTTGTTTCTGAGATCTGCTAGTGACTCACTGTGGGCGTGAAGACAGAGGAGAGGCACTTAGTGACCCCTGGAGACACCCTCTAGTCTGAGGATTGCTTCTAGGCAGCAGGGTGACTGACAGACCTTTCCAAATCCTCCCAGCACGGGGGGCGGGCCTTCACTTGCAGAGAACCTTTTCTAGCAGTGAGAATCAACCCATCAAAAATAAGAGAGAAGCGCCAAGGCAAGGGAGGAGGTGACTGAGCAGGGACGATGGCCCAAGCCACCTGCTTACAAACCTTCCCTAAAGTCCTAGTGTGTGCCAGAGTCCCAGACAGACAGAAATGAGCCGTGGGAAGCCGGAGTGCTGTGGGCAAACTGAGGCATGGTCACCAACCTCTCTCATAAAAGTTGGGTGGAGCCAGGGGAAAAGGGGACCAGGCAAGGAGGTGGGTTTGCTCAGAACCACAAGAGACCACATCTATCTGGGGCATCTCTGGTTATGAATCAGTGGTCTTTGTAACTCTGGAAAGGATTTGGCTGGAGGGAGATAGAGGAAAAATGGTGCAAGAACGGGGAGAGATGGGGGATGGGGAGATGGGGGAAAAGCCAGGAAGCCAGAAGTGGCCAGATTTTGTAGGGTTTTGAATGCCAGTCTGAGTTCTTTTTTAAAAAAATTAATTAATTTTTGGCTGCGTTGGGTCCTCGCTGCTGCACACGGGCTTTCTCTAGTTGCGGCGAGCGGGGGCTACTCTTCGTTGCGGTGCGCGGGCTTCTCATTGCAGTGGCTTCTCTTGTTGTGGAGCACGGGCTCTAGGCTTGCAGGCTTCAGTGTTGTAGCTCGCCGGCTCTAGAGCGCAGGCTCAGTAGTTGTAACGCACGGGCTTAGTTGCTCCCCGGCATGTGGGATCTTCCCAGACCAGGGCTCGAACCCAGGTTCCCTGCACTAGCAGGTGGATTCTTAACCGCTGTGCCACCAGGGAAGCCCCAGTCTGAGTTCTTGATGCTGGAGGCAGCGAGGTACTGTTGAAACTTTCCACATGGGAGAGGATCAAGACGAGGATTGTGTGGCTGCCATGTGGAGGCTCGATGGAGGGAATGAGACTGGAGGCCCGGAGGCCAGGGAGGGGGTCATTCCAGAATCCAGGGATATTGGCAGCCCAGGTGCGTTGCTAAGAAGAGCTGGTTAAGTGCAAAAAGTTCTGTGCATGTGTGAGCACACCTCCAAGTGAATGTATATTTCTTTGCGCACATTTGGGTGGGAACATGTTTATGTGTGTCTGTTTGCCAGTGTGCCTCAGGGTGTGTATTTGTCTTGCTGTGGAGGGGTATGCATGTATGCGTGCCTGCCCCAGGAATCCTGAGGCTTTGATTCTGCGCACACGTGTGTGTGTGTGTGTGTGTGTATGTGTGTGTGTGTATGCGCTCACGTGCACATCATGCCCAGGAAGAGAGGCGGCACCAGTAAATCCTGCTTTCAGGCTTTGGGAACAAGTCAAGCAGACAAATATTGCCATGGCCCTGAGACCAGGCTCCATCCACCTGAATTCCCTCTCTGGAACTCCTGCCACTGCCCCTTATAACTACATGGACACTCCACAGAAGACACCATGGGATGGGCTGCATCCATCTCATGAGGGCTTCCCCCCCCAGCACTCGGCCGGTTACCACCTCCCACTCCTGCCCGTGGGCCCTTAGATGACTTAGTAGCTGCCTTGACCTGGATGGGTGATGCCAATCCTTCCTGTTTCTTTGGCAGAGGGGTAGGGGGTACTACGGGTGAAGTTCCTGGTTGAAGGACAGACACGGTCCCCTCCCCACCCCACAAGGCTCACCCTACATTGCACCCAGGATTTCCTGAATGTTCTCACCTGAGTCAAAGCCACATTGATCCTGCCATTCCTGGGACCTGAGCCAAGAGGCACTTACTCTGCAGACAGCCTTTAAAGGGGGTAAGAGGCCTCACCTGGGCTGCAAGGCCCCAATCCTGGCCCAGCTCTTGACCCACTAGGTGACCTGGGGCTGGAATCTCTTTTAGCCTCGGTGTTTGCCTGTGTAGAATGGGGCCAGGCTGTCTTGCCTGAATTCCAGTCGTGGTGTTGGGATTGTTATCCATGGTGCTGACATGCAGAGGCCTGTGGCAAACCCTTTATCCAGACGCGTGATGCTAAATTTCGCTACTGGTTCCCCGCAAGGAAAAAAAACCCTGCTTTGCAGTGTGGGCCAATTTCTCTGGTGTAAATACTGCCACCATGACTGATTTCAATCCACTAATATGGAGCCACTGGACATGGAGACAAGAAGCGATGTGCACAATCGGCTCTTGTGAGTTGGTAGGAATTGGCTCCAACACACCCCTGCCTTTACCCTAAACAACCAATGACAGGCCAGTCAGAGGGAGAATCGAAATCAAGTTCAGGCAGGTTAATCAAGTTTGGCAAAATGTCCAGCTACCGCCTGCCGATGCAGGGGACACGGGTTCATGCCCTGGTCCAGGAAGATCCCACGTGCCGCAGAGCAGCTGGGCCCGTGAGCCGTGGCCGCTGAGCCTGCGCGTCCGGAGCCAGTGCTCTGCAACGGGAGAGGCCACAACAGTGAGAGGTCCACGTACCGCAAAAAAAAAAAAAAAAAAAAAAATGTCCAGCTAGATTGCCGAGCACTGGGTTTGAGTAACAGGTGAGGTCGTAAAGTGAAAAAAAAAAAGGAGTCAGGAAGTTAGGCACCAGGAGGATGAGAAACAGGCTGGAAAGCGTGATGGGCAAGGAGGTGCCAGGGCAAGTGGTTCGAGATGGAAACGGCATTGTGCTAAGGGATGCATGGCCGGCCCAAAGCGGCCAGAATAGAACATTGCCTTCTGCCGTTCTCAAGCCTGGGAGAGCTAGGAGGGTGCACGTGATGATGCGGGAGCTGAGAAAATAGGCAGGTGTTTCCTGAGCTCCAGGGATGACGTCTGAGCAGGCTGAGCTGGGAAAGGGCAAATCCAATTCTGTAATTGTTGGCGCATCAATTCTGGTGACGGTCCCAGAAGGGTGATGCCAAGAGCCCGTGGAGGAGGGATGCCCGGCTGACATCATCTGCTATTTCTGGACCAATTCACAGCTTCCTCCAGTGAGAACTTCCTTCAGCACGTAAATCACCCTGGTCTTCTCATGACCGCCTCATTTTCCCGAGAAAACAGAGGGAACCCACGCACGTGGGCATCCTCTGGAGAGGGCGCTGGGTGTGGAGAGAAGAGTGTGATCCTGAAGTCGCGCAGACACGGGTTCAAATCTCGCCTCTGCCCCTTGTTGGCTGACGGGCTTTGGGTGAGTCATTTCTCTTCTCTGACACTCCATTCCCTCGAATGGGCTAATAATATCTGGGAGCACTAGAAGCGTGATTAAGTGAGACGGGACTTGTGAGGCGCTGGCACAGGACCTGCTCATTGCAACACCAAATCTCGCTCACTCCCTTTTTGTTTGTTTTTTGGTTTTCCTCTCTTAGAGAATACGTTTCCAGTGATCAATTGGTGGAAGCTTCCAGAAGGAGATGTAGCCTCCCTTTCTAGCCCCTTCCTGGGCTGTGCGGTGCGTGGTTCACAGGGAGGAGGTGGAGGGCTGCCTCTGGGAGGGTAGAGAAGGTGGAGCAGTGGGGGCTGAATTTGTTCTCCCGGGCTTGGGGATCTGGGCGTGAGGGAAACAAGCTCTCTCCCCACAGAGCTCAGACTTCTCCTTAGGAACTTTGGGCCAGGCAGGGCCCAGAGGCAGGGAGAGCAGCCTGGGACCTCAGTGGTGCAATGCCTGTTTCCCAAGCAGACGTACTTGCCCTTCTGTTACCTGTCCCCATGTCTGCTCTATGCCTGGCTCTCCGTCTTTCTGTCCATCGGGCTCTGGAGACAGACTGTTAGACTAGTCCCTGCCTGTGGCACGCATTTCTGCAGAAGCCCACCTGACTTCCTGTCCATCTGTCAGTCCGCTTGCGATCCGCCTTCCCATCGCTCTGATTGCAGCTGACTCTCTTGCACCTGGGCTCCATTTTATGATGTCTGAGTGACAGAGAGGTGATAAGTGAGAGTGAGAGAGAGTGACAGACGGGGGCGCACATAGGGGGGATGGAACACATGCGTACACAGATTCACGGTTGGTGGTCCTCTTTGAGACAGGGTCACTCCAGGTCTCCCCAACCCCAGAGGGGCGTCTGGAGCACCATCCATCTCACCTCCAAGCACCGTCTGTCTGCCTTCCTGACTGCAGACGGAGGAGGAGGGACAGTCCCCATGGCAACCGACGGGGAGGCGCTTTTCAGCTTGAGAAGAACCTTTGTAACAATGGAGCAGTCCGGTAAAGAAAATGGGCTGTTAGTAAGGTAGTGACCTCCCTGTCACTGAAGTTGTTCAATTACAGGCTGGCCACTCACCTGTCAGGACTGCTATGGTGGGTATTCTTGAGTAAGAAGTGGGGTGAGTCAGGCTGGGGTGGTCGAGATGGACCAACCTTTAAGATAACAACTTCCATCACTAATCCAAGTCAAGCACGTTACGTAGCACCTGGCAGATAGTAGGTGCTCAAAACCAGAACTGTTATTTGGAGGAAGGTTGGACTAAGTGACCTCAAGGCCCAATCCACAGCCTTTGAGATGGAGAAAGATGAAAGGCCAATTAGTGGCAACAGGTTATGAATATACAGGAGCTGTGAACTTGGGATAATAAAGGACTTCCCAGAATAGAAATGTCTCCATCTCCCTCACCCTGATCTGCATGGCTCCTGCAGGCCTCCCTCCCCTTTTCTGACTCAATTTCAATTTCAATTTCAATGTCAATAACTTCCCTGGCACGACAAGCAGCGCTTGTTTGCCAGAATGAATTGGAACATTGAGTTTCTCCGACCAGCCTGTCCAGCCAGTGTCGTCTCCTCCCAGGCCTTCCAGGCCCTTCCTTTGCACATGTCTCATCCTCTGTGCCCTTTCAGGAGACTTATTTTTACCTTCCCCAGCTGTTATTTGAAAAAAGATACACTCTCTCGTTTGATCAAGATGTTCCAAGAGCAATGGCACACAGGGCATCGGCTCTCCACGCAAAGTGCCAGGATGAGAGGGGAAAGAAGGCTTAGCCCCTCTCCTTTGAGATGCCAGCTGCGTGGGGAGGCAGAGGAGAGTCGACAACTCCAGTGGGGTGGAGTGGGGAGGGGGCTCTGGGAGCACAGAGGAGGGGCCTCTGAGACAAGGTGAGGGTAGAGAGAGGTGGAGGGGTGGGGGCAGCTTCCTGGAAGAGGCAGAGTGGGAAGGACTTCTGAAGGGTACTTGGAGGGCAGACCACGGAGTTCCTTCCCTCATGGGTCAGCCGTGGCTGGAATGTCACCATGATAACAACTCCTTTTACATGAGCCATAAAAACTATTGGCCCTGCACAGTGCTGGCAGTGGTGACATCCTCTGGAAAGGGAGGGTGTGACATGGAGGAGTGGGAAGTGGGTAAAAGGGACCCAGGTGGATAATGCCTGAGGGATAAAGTCCTGGAGGGTGGGCATGGGGGTGCGTGGGCGGCCCATCAGTGAGCACTGATTTGGACTTGATGCCCTCTATCATAGGGAGAGAGGGCTGGGAGGGAGTGGAACAAGGGTGCTGCAGACACCACTGGGTGCAGACACACCATCTGAGATGCTTGGGCTCAGAGACAGAAACAGAGGGATCCCGGCTGAGGAGGGAGCAGCCCTGGAGTGCGGAGATGAATAGGTGATGGGGTGGGCGACGCTGGCTTTGCCAACTTGACATCCCTGCCCAGCGCTAACCCAGGGTCACCTGTTGCCGCCACCATGGGGAGCCACGGGTCAGGGAGCCAGACAGACAGGGCTGGACCAACTATGCCAGGAAGCCTCCACGAGCAGGACCTTAACCCTCATCCTCCCCTCCTCTCCCCCACCAGAATGCCGTGAATACTAATGGAAACAGATGGCTCCCTTCCACGCCACCGCCAAGAGGAGGGATGGCTAGGGCAAAATTCCCCTGCAACAGAGAGGAGCCACCATGCTGACTCTAGCTATCTTTCCATAGCCTTTGGCCAGGCAGAGAAGAGCCCTGGGGATGGACAGCCCTGGGCAAGATTGACAAAGGCTCAGAGGCTCCAGGGGATCTGCTTGGGACTCGGTGGGTTTTCCATGGGGTTATGCTGAACCAGTAGAAGCAAATTCTTCTCCAGCAGTGCCCCAAACCTGTAGGTTCCTGGGGACCACTCAGCTGTTGGGGGAGGAGGGGAGCCGTGGTGGGATGAGGCCCCTGAAAGTGTGGTTCCAATTCTGTTACTGGGGAACTTTGGGCAAATTCCTTCTATTTTCATAGCCTCATTCAACTCTTCAGTAAGATGAGAGGAATGGACCAGATTGAGGGTTTACAAAGAGGGTTCCTTAGAAGTCTATTCCCGTAAGATGTTGAGGGGAAAAGAAGTTTGGAAGAATGTGCTTTCCATCCTCCAATATACATTATAAACTCTGTAAAGCTCTGTAAGCACAGAAACCTGTTCAACTTTGACCGGGCGTTTCCCAAACAGGCCCTGCTTTCTCAAACGGCCCATTTTCATCCCAAGGAAGGCATGAGCCCTGTGACATAGTTTGGAAAACAGTGGACTAAACGCACTTCTGCAAAATTCCCTCCAGTCCTGAAGGTCTTGTTTGTTTCTCTAAGGAAAGTGGGAGGGGTGGGGAGGAGAGAGAAAATGACATTGAAAGCTCTTCCCATGTGTCATCTCATGTGACCACCCTCCGCTCCACCAGCTACATCATGGTGTGGGTGTGAGTTCCCGCACTGGCAGATGAGGGCAGCGAGGCCTGCACTGATTTCAGGGAGAAGGGGAAGCTTCCTCCCAGCCTGCTGCATGCAGGAAGGTGAGAAAATCCTGCTTGGAGGTGTGGCTTGGAGGGCAAGGCTCCCCTTCCAGCAGTCTCAGACTCTCTCTAGCCTCCACCCGCCCCATTCAGGGTTGCCCCCTGCTCTACCCTTTTCTTGGGGGAAGTCTTTGGACAGCATTATGGGCTGAGTACAAGGAAAGCCAAGGGCTGGGGTAAGCCACCTACATATAACTGACAAAGCTAACTCCCAAGATTTCAATCCACATAGGGCGGGCCCTGAACAGAAGCATAAAGCCGCCAGTGTGGGTCTGTGTGATGTAGTGAAAAGAAACTGAACTTTGGAGCTAAACAGACCAGGGGTCAAATCCTGCCACGAAGACCCTTAACTAACCCTACTTAACTGATGTCTAAATGAACTACCGCTATTCCCTCTGGAAAACCTGCCGACGACAGCCGGTGGCACTTGGGATGCCTGGCTGTCAGACAACTCCTTTCTTGTTTGCCTGTGTTGTGTGTGTTTCCAAACCTGTTTATGTCAGTTGCGCTTGTCACTGTAAACAGATAATTGAATCAAGTGTAAACCAAGCCAATGAAATACAAGTGGAGAAAGGAGTTATGCTTTTATGGTAATTAATTTAATGCTTTGGGAAGGATGCTAAAAAGTTGCTGTTGAGTTATGTGTGGCCGAGACTCTACAAGATTTGAAGAATCAACCCCATACAAGGAGGTCTGTGTACTTTGATTAGTCTTGCAGGGAATCAAAACCAGAAATCTCTTAGGTGATATTTATGTGGTCTCCATTATGTGTGATCCCAGGAAGCCAATTCACCTTTCTGAACTTTGTTTTTCTTGGCTTTAAAAGAAATAAAAGGAATCCAAATCGGAAAAGAAGTAAAACCGTCACTGTTTGCAGATGACATGATACTATACATAGAGAATCCTAAAGATGCTACCAGAAAACTACTAGAGCTAATCAATGAATTTGGTAAAGTAGCAGGATACAAAATTAATGCACAGAAATCTCTTGCATTCCTATACACTAACGATGAAAAATCTGAAAGAGAAATTAAGGAAACACTCCCATTTACCACTGCAACAAAAAGAAACCTATAAGACACTGATGAAAAAAATTAAAGATGGTACAAACAGATGGAGAGATATACTACATTCTTGGATTGGAAGAATCAACATTGTGAAAATGTCTCTACTACCCAAAGCAATCTACAGATTCAGTGCAATCCCTATCAAACTACCAATGACATTTTTCACAGAACTAGAACAAAAAAATTCACAATTTGTATGGAAACACAAAAGACCCTGAATAGCCAAAGCTATCTTGAGAAAGAAAAACGGAGCTGGAGGAATCAGGCTCCCTGACTTCAGACTATACTACAAAGCTACAGTAGGAAAAAAAACAACCACATGGGGACTTCCGGGAAGATGGCAGAAGACTAAGACGCGGAGATTACCTTCCTCCCCACAGATACACCAGAAATACATCTACACGTGGAACAACTCCTACAGAACACCTACTGAACGCTGGCAGAAGACCTCAGACCTCCCAAAAGGCAAGAAACCCCCCACGTACCTGGGTAGGGCAAAAGAAAAAAATAAACAGAGACAAAAGGATAGGGACGGGTCCTGCACCAGCGGGAGGGAGCTGTGAAGGAGGAAAAGTGTCCACACACTAGGAAGCCCCTTCGCGGGCGGAGACTGCGGGTGGTGGAGCGGGGGAGCTTCGAAGCCGCGGAGGAGAGCACAGCAACAAGGGTGCGGAGGGCAAAGCGGAGAGATTCCAGCACAGAGGATCAGGGCCGACCGCCACTCACCAGCTGAGAGGCTTGTCTGCTCACCCGCCGGGGCCGGCGGGGCTGGGAGCTGAGGCTCGGGCTTCAGTCGGAACGCAGGGAGAGGACTGGGGTTGGCGGCGTGAACACAGCCTGCAGGGCGTTAGTGCACCGCGGCTAGCCGGGAGGGAGTCCGGGGAAAAGTCTGGACCTGCCGAAGAGGCAAGAGACTTTTTCTTCCCTCTTTATTTCCTGGTGCTCGAGAAGAGGGGATTAAGAACGCTGCTTAAAGGAGCTCTAGAGACGGGCGCGAGCCGCGGCTAAAGGTGCGGACCCCAGAGACAGACATGAGACGCTAAGGCCGCTGCTGCCGCCACCAAGAAGCCTGTGTGCGAACACAGGTCACTATCCACACCGCCCTTCCGGGGAGCCTGTGCAGCCCGCCCCTGCCAGGGTCCCGGGATCCAGGGACAACTCCCCCGGGAGAACGCACGGCGCGCCTCAGGCTGGCGCAACGTCACTCTGGCCTCTGCCGCCGCAGGCTCGCCCTGCACTCCGTGACCCTCCCTACCCGCGGCCTGAGTGAGCCAGAGCCTCCAAATCAGCGGCTCTTTTAACTCCGTCCTGTCTGAGCAAAGAACAGACGCCCTCTGGCGACCTACACGCACAGGAGGGGCCAAATCCAAAGCTGAGCCCCTGGGAGCTGTGGGAACAAAGAAGAGAAAGGGAAATCTCTCCCAGCAGCCTCAGAAGCAGCGGATTAAAGCTCCACAATCAACTTGATGTACCCTGCATCTGTGGAATACATGAATAGACAACGAATCATCCCAAATTAAGGAGCCGTGTGGATGAAAGGCTCTTGGTGCTGCAGCCAGGAGTTAGTGTTGTGCCTCTGAGGTGGGAGAGCCAACTTCAGGACACTGGTCCACAAGAGGCCTCCCAGCTGACATAATAGCAAACGGCGAAAATCTCCCAGAGATCTCCATCTCAACGCCAGCACCCAGCTTCACTCAACGACCAGCAAGCTACAGTGCTGGACATCCTATGCCAAACAACTAGCAAGACAGGAACACAACCCCACCCATTAGCAGAAAGGCTGCCCAAAATCATAATAAGTCTACAGACACCCCAAAACACACCACCAGACGTGGACCTGCCCACCAGAAAGACAAGATCCAGCCTCATCCACCAGAACACAGGCACTAGTACCCTCCACCAGGAAGCCTACACAACCCACTGAACCAACCTTAGCCACTGGGGGCAGACACTAAAAACAACAGGAATTACGAACCTTCAGCCTGCAAAAAGGAGACCCCAAACACAGTAATATAAGCAAAATGAAAAGACAGAAAAACACACAGCAGATGAAGGAGCAAGATAAAAACCCACCAGACCTAACAAATGAAGAGGAAATAGGCAGTCTACCTGAAAAAGAATTCAGAATAATGATAGTAAAGATGATCAAAATCTTGGAAATAGAATAGACAAAATGCAAGAAACATTTAACAAGGACCTAGAAGAACTAAAGATGAAACAAACAATGATGAACAACACAATAAATGAAATGAAAAATACTCTAGATGGGATCAATAGCAGAATAACTGAGGCAGAAGAACGGATAAGTGACCTGGAAGATAAAATAGTGGAAATAACTAATGCAGAGCAGAATAAAGAAAAAAGAATGAAAAGAACTGAGGACAGTCTCAGCGACCTCTGGGACAAGATTAAATGCACCAACATTCGAATTATAGGGGTTCCAGAAGAAGAAGAGAAAAAGAAAGGGACTGAGAAAATATTTGAAGAGATTATAGTTGAAAACTTCCCTAATATGGGAAAGGAAATAGTTAATCAAGTCCAGGAAGCACAGAGAGTCCCATACAGGATAAATCCAAGGAGAAATATGCCAAGACACATATTAATCAAACTGTCAAAAATTAAATACAAAGAAAGCATATTAAAAGCAGCAAGGGAAAATCAACAAATAACACACAAGGGAATCCCCATAAGGTTAACAGCTGATCTTTCAGCAGAAACTCTGCAAGCCAGAAGGGAGTGGCAGGACATATTTAAAGTGATGAAGGAGAAAAACCTGCAACCAAGATTACTCTACCCAGCAAGGATCTCATTCAGATTTGATGGAGAAATTAAAACCTTTACAGACAAGCAAAAGCTGAGAGAGTTCAGCACCACCAAACCAGCTCTACAACAACAGCTAAAGGAACTTCTCTAGGCAAGAAACACAAGAGAAGGAAAAGACCTACAATAACGAACCCAAAACAATTAAGAAAATGGGAATGGGAACATACATATCGATAATTACCTTAAATGTAAATGGACTAAATGCTCCCACCAAAAGACACAGATTGGCTGAATGGATACAAAAACAAGACGCATATATTTGCTGTCTACAAGAGACCCACTTCAGACCTAGAGACACATACAGACTGAAAGTAAGGGGATGGAAAAAGGTATTTCATGCAAATGGAAACAAAAAGAAAGCTGGAGTAGCAATTCTCATATCAGACAAAATAGACTTTAAAATAAAGACTATTAGAAGAGACAAAGAAGGACACTACATAATGATCAAGGATCGATCCAAGAAGAAGATATAACAATTGTAAATATTTATGCACCCAACATAGGAGCACCTCAATACGTAAGGCAAATACTAACAGCCATAAAAGGGGAAATCGACAGTAACACATTCATAGTAGGGGACTTTAACACCCCACTTTCACCAATGGACTGATCATCCAAAATGAAAATAAATAAGGAAACACAAGCTTTAAATGATACATTAAACAAGATGGACTTAATTGATATTTATAGGACATTCCATCCAAAAACAACAAAATACACATTTTTCTCAAGTGCTCATGGAACATTCTCCAGGATAGATCATATCTTGGGTCACAAATCAAGCCTTGGTAAATTTAAGAAAATTGAAATTGTATCAAGTATCTTTTCCAACCACAACGCTGTGAGACTAGATATCAATTACAGGAGAAGATCTGTAAAAAATACAAACACATGGAGGCTAAACAATACACTATTTAATAATTAAGTGATCACTGAAGAAATCAAAGGGGAAATAAAAAAATGCCTAGAAACAAATGACAATGAGACATGACGACTCAAAAATCTATGGGATGCAGCAAAAGCAGTTCCAAGAGGGAAGTTTATAGCAATACAATCCTACCTTAAGAAACAGGAAACATCTCGAATAAACAACCTAACCTTGCACCTCAAGCAATTAGAGAAAGAAGAACAAAAAAACCTCAAAGTTAGCAGAAGGAAAGAAATCATAAAAATCAGATCAGAAATAAATGATAAAGAAATGAAGGAAACGATAGCAAAGATCAATAAAACTAAAAGCTGGTTCTTAGAAAGGACAAACAAAATTGATAAACCATTAGCCAGACTCATCAAGAAAAAAAGGGAGAAGACTGAAATCAATAGAATTAGAAATGAAAAAGGAGAAGTAACAACTGACACTGCAGAAATACAAAAGATCAGGAGAGATTACTACAAGCAAATCTATGCCAATAAAATGGACAACCTGGAAGAAATGGACAAATTCTTAGAAAGGCACAACCTACCAAGACTGAATCAGGAAGAAATAGAAAATATGAACAGACCAATCACAAGCACTGAAATTGAAAATGTGATTAAAAATCTTCCAACAAGCAAAAGCCCAGGACCAGATGGCTTCACAGGCAAATTCAAACATTTAGAGAGGAGCTATCACCTATCCTTCTCAAACTCTTCCAAAATATAGCAGAGGGAGGAACACACCCCAACTCATTCTACAAGGCCACCATCACCCTGATACCAAAACCAGACAAGGATGACACAAAGAAAGAAAACTACAGGCCAATATCACTGATGAACATAGATGCAAAAATCCTCAACAAAATACTAGCAAACAGAATCCAACAACACATTAAACGGATCATACACCATGATCAAGTGGGGTTTATTCCAGGAATGCAAGGATTCTTCAATATACACAAATCAATCAACGTGATACACCATATTAACAAATTGAAGGAGAAAAACCATATGATCATCTCAATAGATGCAGAGAAAGCTTTTGACAAAATTCAACACCCATTTATGATAAAAA